TTTTTTAGATTCTATGTTGGGTAGCCAATAAGGTTCCCTCTGGCCCAATTAACTTCATTTACAGTGGTGCCCCGCAAGACGAATGCCTCGCAAGACGAAAAACTCGCTAGACGAAGGGTTTTCCGTTTTTTGAGTCGTTCCGCAAGATGAATTTCCCTATGGGCTTGCTTCGCAAGACGAAACGTCTTGCGAGTTCTTGCGAGTTCCCTTTTTCTTAAAGCCGCTAAGCCGCTAAATAGCCGCTAAGCCGTTAATAGCCGCTAAGCCGCTAATAGCCGTGCTTCGCAAGACGAAAAACCGCAAGACGAAGAGACTCGCGGAACGGATTAATTGTCTTGCGAGGCACCACTGTATGTTTTGTCTATGCCACTTTTCACCAGCGCGAGTTAACAAAGCACTTACAAACAACAAATAACAATGACATAATGGAAGATCACGATCGCAACATAAATTGTAGAAAATAATTAGCAAACCACCAGTGGAACAATTGCAAACCATCAGTAAAACAACCACCTTCTATAATACATTATTAAGAAAACACCCTCCCACAGGTTCCCCATTCATGGTCTATGGTAAGTGGGTAAGATCACACAATCTGGAAGTTTCCAGGCAGCCTCGAGATTCCAGACTTCTCCTACACCATGATTTAAGGCGGCAACCCTGGGAACGCAGCCTTGAAAGCAGAACACACTGCCTTAAAAGCAAGACCCACTGGAACCTTTGGACTTACCTCCGAGTTGTAGGGTGCTCCAGGACTGGGTGGAAGAGAATGGACTTACCCAAAGAGCTGCAGCTCATCGTCGGGGCCTGGCGATGCTTCAGGATTGGGACACTCGCACTGGTATGCCCTGTTAAGCAGGAGCCGGGTCGGGCCAGCAACATGAGATCTGGCAGCTCCAGGCTTGGGCTGGTGGCAGCAATTAGATGGATTAGCTAGGGATAAAACTGATAAGGAAGGAAAGATGGAGTCACCAGACCTTTTCAAAGCTTCCTGATGCCAATCTTACAAGTTTCCCCATTATTGTGCTAAAAAAAGTGCTAAAAAAAAGGCTCCTGTGGAGTTTAGATTAGTTCATCATTTGTCATAGCCTATGCGGGATTCAGTTAATGATGCTATTCCTGAGCATCTCTCTACAGTTCACTATGCTTCCTTCAACAGTGCTGCATGTATAGCACTGTGCTAAGGGGGCTTTGATGGGTAAGGATGACACCAAATCAGCTTCGTGCCTCCTTCCAGTTCATCCAGATTATTTCGACTTATTGGGTTGTTTCTTTCAAGGGAATTACTGTGTGGAAATCACTTCACCCATGGAATGCTCTGCATCGTGTATGGCTTCTGTTCTTTTCTGCAGTGGACTCCGAGGAAGCAGATGGATTGGGTGTACTCAGTTCATTATTTACATGATTTTGTTTGTTTGTAAAGAGAATGTACTACAGGCCAGTGCATGTGAGAGACTAATGAACAAATTCATTAGGAGGCCGCTATTCCCCTCGCAGAGCTACAATTCTCAGAGTGGCTTAACAATCAATCCCTCTACACAGGGAACCTTCAGTCCTCGGCAGCTGCCTCATTGGGCAAGACCTACTGGAACGGTTACTGAGATCTCTAGACCTGTGCTGTTTTGGTTTCTTTGAATAAAGAGAGTTAAACTTCACTGATGCAAAGTGTGTTTTTTTATCACTGACCTACACCTGCCTGCAGCTCCTGAAAGGGATGATCTGTGGGCAATGTGGCGAAGCAGTCAGCTGACTGTTCTGCCATCTTGATGCGATGATTCACTGCTCACCATGAGCCCAGTAACCCACGTGGAAATTCTCTCTTAAAAGGGGGGGGGAGAGAAAAGTGATGTAAAGTCAATCTTTGGTCTTGTTTATATTGAAAATAATTCATCAGGGCTTCTCTGTTCACCCAGATTCATTCTGCCTTCACCTAACAAGATGAGCTCAGCATCTAGGCTGAGCAAAAACAAAAAGGGCCATTGTCTGACTTGATTGCACTTCTCCTGCTTTACCTGAAAGAGTTTTAATTGGGGAATACGACTTTAGAGGAATCCTTTAGTGAGCCGACAAGCTCCACCTGAGATAATTAATTAAAGTATTCTTCTGAAGAATCCAGCTCTGATTGCGATGGATTGCTATATTTAAAACAGACACACAGCCCCAAAGACCAGCATTTCGGTTGTTACCAATTAGAGGGTTGACCTTGAAATGTTCCCTCGTACGAGGTACGCTCACGCGGTATTAGTTTAAATCAATGGAATTAGCTGTAAGGCAATTCTGTAATTCTCTCACTTTGCTGATGAAACCGTCCCAGGTGGATGGAAGAAATTTACATTCCCATTTCCACTGGTGCGCTGGTTCCTTTTTGACATCATTCACATCACGGGGCTGTAAATGCATCTCATATATCTTCTAGCAAGCCCAGCGACAGAGGTTTGCACCGCTGGGTAGAACTAGGCTTTTCAGAGGGCCCATCGCTTCCCCGTGAGGCTGGCAGGCACAGAAGCATAAGAATGTGAGACAAGCCTGCTGGATCAAGATCAATGGTCCATCCTTCTGTTCTCCCAGTGACCAATCAGATGTTTATAGGAAGCCACTGTAAGCAGAAACTAAACAGGAAAAGAGACAGTCTCTCAGATATTGAGGATTATTGGTAGGTTTGCAGAAAGGCCACAATAAGCACTGACAGGGATAGTGGCATGCATGGGTGCCACGCTGACAACTCCTGCTATATATCATTACTAAATGAGACATTTTGCCAGTTTAGGCTGGCCGGTGGTTAAACTGAACATATTTTTTGTCCTGCAGACCTCTCTAGCATACCAAAAAGTACTTGATCACTGCTCTTTGCCTTTTAACACCTAATGAGCAAATCCATTAAACGCTGGAGATGGGGACAACTCTGCAGGGAGGTAGATGAGATGGCTTCCAAGGTCTCGGATTATTAGCTACAATCCTATGCAATGCTCCCTGTTATAGTGGGTTCTTTGTACACACAAGAATTTGGTCCTTCCCTCTTTCACAGAAAAAAAAGCAAACCACACTTTGTGAGCATAGATAGCCCGCAGTATAGAAAACTCCAAAAGCAGTTACCGTTGACATAATCCAGCATGGTGATTTAAAGGCCGAGTTTCAAAATCTTCAAGTTCCTCTCTCCACTTTCGATGGCACTGCCATCTATTAAAGTGAGGTAATATGATTTAAAGTTGATCCTGCCACGTTAGCGATCCATCACCTGATTTAGAGCAGGTCCTTTGGGTTATAGCGCTGTTGACGTCGCACTTTAGTTTCTAATATTGTCTAATCCAATGGAAAGTATCCACCTACCCCAAATTTTTATGCGGGGGCTGCAACTCGGGTAGCCATCCAGTGTCTGATCCTTGCAAGAAACGCAGGGGCCTGCAGCGGTGTTTTAAATTGAACGCTTGCTCCCAGCTTGCAGGAAGAGAAATTACTGCACAGGGGCATGAGGAATTTCGATAGTGCGTTACTCCAGTGCAAATCTAGACTAGCACTACTAAAATGAGTAGATTTATACGAACGGAGGCCAGACTTTGTCCTAGGGCAAAGCACATTTGGTATTTCTGTTTGAATTATTCAAAAGTGGGTGCAGAAAAAAGTCAGCTATCCATATTGCACCTTTTCCAAAGGGTTATGGTGGGGACTATATGATAAGTATTTGTGAAGGCTAGAAGGTTTAGAAACCTGAATAGTCTTGCTATTTAAATAATAATAATTTCCGTTTTTTGTGTGTTAATTGTTATTACTCAACTGTCTTGTTAAGCAATCAAAATGCCATGAGACAATACAAAGCCAGAAAATTTGAACTGTTGTGTCACTGGTTTGTCATTTTAAAAAAATTCTGCATGAAAATCTGTACACATTTTTTGTGCCAATTTCTTCTCATGTGTGCATTTTCTTTGTGGGCAGTTGGGTCATATATGTGTATACTAGTGGGGAGTGTCAGGTGCTGCCCAGAAATTTGTAGAAACCAAAGTATATTGTGATTATATGGATAGTGCAATTTCTTAGTCTGGACCTGTCATGCCAAGAAGTGAATAAAATCATACCAAATTCATGTTTTGATCAGCCATCCTGAATCAAAATGGCACCTGACATTCAAATGTCAATGAAGACTGTCTTATGCAAATATTGGCAATGATATCTCAAGACGTGTCTGAATCTGTGCCAAAAAAGGTCATACCACAGTGGTGTTCCAATCTGCCATCTTGATTCAAAATGGTGCCCGGCATCTGAACAGTGACAAAGTCTGCTATTCCCAGTGCTGTTTTTCTAGAAAAAGAAAAGTCCTTCTGCTGAGTTTAACAATGCTATCTCAAGAAGCGGCTGAACCTATGCTGAAAATGTCAGACCAAATAGACATTTGGGTCTGCTATTTGGTAAGCTGGCATTTTCTGTTTCATTGTGTTGTATTGATACTTATTACTTTGGGTAATCTTGAAGGGACGCGGTGGCGCTGTGGGTAAAACCACAGTGCCTAGGACTTGCCATCGTATGGTCGGTGGTTTGAATTCCCCGCGGCGGGGTGAGCTTCCCGTCTTTCGGTCCCCAGCTCCTGCCCAACCTAGCAGTTCGAAAGCACCCTTAAGTGCAAGTAGATAAATAGGTACCACTTTATAGCGGGAAGGGTAAACGGCGTTCCGTGCGCTGCGCTGGTGCAGGCTCGCCAGAGCAGCGATGTCACACTGGCCACATGACGTGGAAGTGTCTGCGGACAGCACCGGCTCCCGGCCTCTAGAGTGAGATGAGCGCACAACCCTAGAGTCTGTCAAGACTGGCCCGTATGGGCAGGGGTAACTTTACCTTTACCTTTACTTTGGTAATCTTATGCAAACTGCATAAAGTGGTATATAAATACCTTATATCTGTATTGGGAACATGCAGCCTTGTAGATAATGTT